AGTTATTTTATCCAGCATGCTACAGGTTCTCCGAAGGCCACTGTGTTTATTGTCTTGTTCAAACCCTCTCCTACTGAGGAAGGGGAGCTTTGCACTCAGACAAAAAAATCCCAAACCGTAGTTTGATCCAGATTCCCAATGTGAGGATTTTCTGTGTTTTCTGTTTCATACTATACTTTACCGCAAAATAAGATTTCATAATGAAAATAAGTGTTAGTTACAGCCTTTTTCCTGACATTGTAGTAAATGAAAAGTCATCCATATGAAGGAATTAAGCTTTTGTGATTGTTTTCATAGTCTGACACATAACGTTATGTAATGTCATGAAGTCTCTCTACCTCTCTCAGCTGCTCCTGTTCAAACTCATGCCTCCTGACCAGACTCCGGCGTTTTAGGGCCCTGCAGCTCCGGTCGTAGACCAGCCTCTGCTGGGCCAGCAGATGAGCTTCCTCCTCAGCCTGAGAGCGCTGAATTGTTTCTTTGTGCCTGGACAGACGCTCCTGCTTCTCCTCCTTGGGTGTGCAAGGGTCTTCATTCATCTCCTTGACAAACACACAAACAACAGAACAATGTGAATAGAGTTTGTATGATCTAAAGAAAAATCCCATCAAAATTGTCTGAGAATATTAAGAGATATGATGTGTAAGCTCATAAACTTTGTGCTGTGTTTATTCATGATACTTACTTCTTTGATCTTGTCTTTGCAGAGCCTGTACTCCTTTTTCTGGTTTTCTAAGAAAGTAGTCAGCTCTTTCTTTTGCTGAGCAACAATCTGTTGCTGGATCCTCCTCTCTTCTGCTGCCACTGACTTCATCTGTGAGGAGACATCAAAATATTCAAATTATCACCCAGAAATGCCTGTACACACACACTGTTTGACTTAAAGTGAATGAAATCACTCTGTAGTTTCCACCTCATTCATAAGTAACACCTACTGTAGTGGCTTTACCTCTTTGTCTGTTTGAGCAGCGTGGCGTTTGGCCAGTCTTTCCAGCTCAATGTAAGTGTTGTTCGCATGTGTCTCTAATTCCTTCTGCAGCCGGAGCCTATGCTCATCCATCTCGGCCTTTAGCCTGTTCTCCAGGGCGATCAGCTGCTTCTGGTGCTGCCGCCGCATGCGCTTATACCCAGACATCTGCTCCCGCAGCTCAAAGTCCTGCTCATGCTCCTGGATCTACCTGATGACCTAGACAGAGGAACACAGGAGATGGGAAGTAAAAGACACAGAGCAGGCAGACAGAAACAAGTGCCATGGTGGAGAGAGAAGTAAAAGAAGAGAGACAGCTGGTAAGTGAGAGGCTATGGCCTAAAAACAGACCACATAAAGTGCAGTGGTGGTGGTAGTGGTGGTGAAGAACAATTCTTTCAAAGAAAAGTAATCAGTTTGCAGATTACTACACGTCCATGACAAGCCAAGAATTCAAAGAGGGGTTATAAGTGATACAGAAATCTAAGTGTAATCAATCTACAGAGGCTCTGTTGTTGAATCCCATTTAAAATTCTGCATAGAATAACTCATGAGAATATCAAGCAACACAAATTAATCAATCAATCACTCCAGTGTCCTTTTCAATAAGCAAGTGATATCTATATGATGTCATGATGAGGATCAAGACCAGTCTATGAGACAACAATCTAAGACGACTATTGAGAGCAGATGTGGAAATGCACCTTTTACAATGTATGACATGAATGAAATCTCACTGGTAATAGACAGCAGGCAGAGATTTACATGGAATACATATAAATGCAATGCACACACACATAAAAGCAGAGGCAGAGAGGGAAGCTGAGGATGGAAAAAATGACATCCATTAACAGGATCTGGTTGCCATGACTACAGATGTACAGCTGAGAACACAGACACCCCTTCCCTCCCCTCCTCACAACCCCCCTCCCCCCCGCCAGCACGCACACATACACTAACACACACGCGCGCGCGCTCACACACACACATACACACGCGCGCGCGCGCGCACACACACACACACACACACACACACACGTATTTTTTATGCAAACGGTGGAGAGAGGGAGCTGCGTACCAAAGATGCTGATTTGATGGTGGCAATGTGTTCACAGATCTTGCAGTCGAGAGACCGGCTCTTGTGAGAAGTAGGCCGCAGCTCTGGCCTGGTGTCCCTGTGCACAGCCTCATCCCTCACGCAAGCATGGTCCTGCAGGGGGGGAGGAAAAGGAGGAGATAGTGGGGCTGGGTGCTTCCCAGGCCCTCCGCACTCGCTGTTTCTGCTAGAGCTGCTATTACTGCCGAATCTCCCTGAATGCAGCACACATCCAGCGTTAAATGCATCCTTCCCCTGCTTGTTCCCCCGCTACTGTCTGCAAGTCCTTCCTAAGAGAGAAAAGGGCATTGCCAAACAATTGCAGGCACCACCGTAAAGGCAGCTACTGGATGTAGTCGGTTTTTTTTCTGGCGTCCCCCTCTTCCCAAAGAGGAGGAACCAAATGGCTCCGGTGGATAAGGGTGAATTATGCAATGCCTACCATTGATAATCGGAGAAAGATAGCACAGGGATGTATGTTACTGCCACTCTTCTTTTCCGTTTCAAAATGCAAGAAATGTTTGGGAGGAAAAATACTTTTCCTGTGTTCCCATGATCGCATGTGGTACCATATTTAAAAATATTTGAATCAGATAAGGCACATCCAAACATGGTTTTTCCTCGAATATGTCGCTTGATGATCCGTTTGTATTCCACTCGAATTTCTGTCCTACATTTACAGCGCACTTGGTCATGGTAGGTGGTTCTGGTGCCTTCTATTCATCTCTTTCCTCTGTCCCTCTTCTACACTCCCCCTTCCTTTAAAGAGACACCGCAATACTACAGGCACATCTCAGCAAGCCTAAAGTTAGGCTATTTAACATCACACTCGATCACAGTATATATATCAGAAATCACAAATATCAATAATGGAATTACATCATATGGGAAGAACAATGTCCACTTTATGTGTACATGTAAATCAGCATTCGTAAAAATGTGTCGAAATTATATTATTAGTAAACATCTTCACTAAATTCCCCTTGAAATCCCACATCATACTTAAGAATAGTTTTATTATAGGTTTCTTACTTTTTGAGGAAATTTATTATTATTACTATTATTATAATAATAATAATAATAATATTTTTTTTTTTTTTTTTAAACTCCTTTTCATTAGGGAGAAATGGGAAAATATGACCCACACCAACTAGCACTCAGATTAAAAACATCCTCTGTGGATTGTGAACATTGCTTGTATTTTGCAGTAATTATGAAGCAAAGAGAGCATAAATATAGCATAAACATTAGTATTTTTTCCTGTTATTGTTCCTGTCGTTGCTTCATGTGGCCGCTGGAGGGCGACAGTGACAAACAGACAAACATTTAAATACAGACTTAGTGTCTCTCTCCATGGTGCTGAAAATAGTATCTCATTGTACCACTACCGTTGCTGGTACTTCCACGATTAGGCTACTGCAAGTACACATTAGCAACCATGCAGTACTCCCAGCAACCACAGGGAATTACTATGGCAACCGCATCATACAGCCTGCCAACCACCTAGAAACTGCCATGAATACCTTAGTAACCACTAGACAACCACCTATTACAACCTGAGCAACCCTGCAGAACACTCTAGCAACCAGCTAGCAGCTACCTTGAAAGACCCTAACAACCTAGACAGACATTCTAAACAGCACAGCAACCTCCTAGCAACAAGCTAGTGACACCATAGCAACTTGTCCAAACACAGAGATGATATCTAGTGACAGTCTATAAGCCACACCTAGCAGTTGCCTATCAATCACCTACAGCAGCACCTCAATAAAATTTGTAGTAAAAAAAAAGTAATTTTCCTTTAGGCAGAAATCATGCTTAAAGTTTCTTCTGAAGGTTTTTACTTTTTCCCATTTGTGTGGCTGTAAGTCTAATTCCTGATCGCTGTATAATATTTAAGACTTAAATTACATATTTTAAATCATCACTGTAATTTATCCTGCATAAATCCCAATTTAGCTTAGAGATATTGTCACAGACCAGTGTATAGCCTACCCACTCTAAAATGGACTTTAATACTGTGAATTGTATTTGCAAGAGGTCCACTGTATTATTGTATAGTTGTTGGGGTCTTCTGTTCCTGAGCATGCTTTTTTGGCTTGAGGGCTGACAGGTCCAGTGATGTAATGTTTAGTGTACATGCTTTAATTCTTGCTGGTGACTGTGAGGTTGATGATGGATGGAGGAAGAATAACAGGCTATTTGAAGCATCTGTGGATGAGCATCAGGCTGTGGCAGAGAAAGCCTTGACTCACCAAGTTGCCCAAAGCCACTGTTGAACGTGGAATAAATGCATGTTAATGGTCTTTTGGCCAAAGCTATTGTCCAAGGTGATTGCACAATATTTTAAGCTCTCCTCTATTTAAACTGACAAATTGTTAATTGGGGTGAAGATTCCTCTTTGTTGGTGAGGAAGAACAAATGGAAGAAATGAATGAAAGAATGAAACTTCGGCCACAGATGGTTACATGGTTAGGTTCTCTGCTTTTAGAACAACATCTAACCTCCATCTCCTATTATTTTCCTATTGTAAAAAAATATGAACAAATGAGTGGACTGCCATTCTATAAATTATACTAAAATGAAATCAAATACACTTAGTTATTCAGTTAAATCACTCATCAAACTGCCCATTTCACTTCATGACAACTTGTTAGATAATCAACAAACAAAGCCAAGAAAGCAATTGAATAATCAGAATCTGTTATGTTTGTGAGTGTAATTCAGACAAACTCCTCCGTGTTTTTATTGTACCTTCTGTATTTTTTTTTTTTACAATTTTTTCCATTATAGCATTCATCCATGTGATGGCATACAGGACACCATGCAATACTCTATACAAACACTAGATGTCACTGCTTACTTTTGAATGATTCAGCCTTCATCAGCCGAGCATGGCACCTGCATTTTACGTTTGCGTACATGACAGTGTAACTTCGCACTTGCCAAATAACTTTATTTCATTCATCTTTAGGCTTCATTTGCTTAGACATTTGGCATCACATGTCTCATATTTAGGAACTTTACCATTTAATTTAAAACATGAACCCAAAAATTATCTTTCAAGAACCTCTTACAGCTGATTGGTTAAAATCTATTGTGGCTGATTATATTGACATTGAGATAAACTATTGATGACAGGCTACATGAGTAAATAAACTTGGACATAAATACTATAGAATAAACCATCTCATGAACAGGAAATACAAGTATGTTTGACAAATATTTTGGGCATGATTTCAGGTATAGATGAGCAATGGATGAACAAATAACCTAATAATAATTTAACTGGTTCCTACTAATCTTATAATCTGCTAATAAATAAAGAAAATTACAATCTTTTTTATTTATATGGCAGGAGTTGTTTAATACATTTGTTCAAGATCATATGACATCTTCACTGTCGCTATACTGTCCTGTTATACAGAAGACATGATGACATTAGAAATGCATGAAAAACTACTACCCATATTCTATTTGAAATGCCTCGCCATGCAAAAATGATTCCTTCCTTATTCCTCATTTTCAAAGTCAGTTCTGTTTTTACTTTGATGAGTTTGCATTTAATTTTAAAACCAAAAGGAACTATGACAAGGCACTGCAGCGGTGATCATGCATTAACCGTGGCAGACAGTATCTCTGGAAAATAAGCCTGTTGTTACATACATACATCACATTTAGTAAGCTGTAACAAACTGGTTTTTCTTTTTTTTAATGTCGGTGCTACTAAGGTCGCGACACACAACTTGGGCTACATCTGAGTCTGGTTTCAAGTTCTGCTCAGCTGGTCTCACTTTTCACCGTCCTGCCTCTGTCTGGTCTGAACGGGTATGACGAGCTCGTTGGCCGGGCCGCTGATGGATGTCCCAGGAACAGGAGCCTCTACTGACAGGACTCCATCACCAGACAATGATGAACTGATGTGCTGCAAGTCCACCCCCTGCGGCAACCTTGAACACATGAAGACAATATTTATCAGCACTGAACACATCAACTCAAGTAAAGTGCAGTCATTGCATGTAGCTGAGAAAAACGTTCTGTGTGTATATTTTTCCGTTGACAGACCAAGTGATAATACGTGGCACACTGTTGCTCCAGGATACTTTATCATCATGCGTCTTTATTGACCTCTTACCTCATGAGATGTTCAGTGTTTGTTTGCTTTAGTAGGGTTGCTTATACAGTAGCTACACTGAAATCAAAATCACCCAGAGATGTGATATTATATAGATTTATTTCTCGAAATTCTTCATATTCTCAGAGGCAACCTACTTATATTTCCGAGTGAAGCATCTTGAAACTAATCCATGCTCATCTTGCCTCTCTTCATGATTTCCTAGAAATGAAAAGCAGAAATAGTAAGAAAAACACATTGTAGAAATAGTAGTCCATCCATAGCAGTCCATTTACTACTTGCTATTACTTAGTTTTCATGACATGATTCATCTCAAATGGTTTATCAAAGAAGCTTGTGCAGTACCTGATATTTGCAGGTAGCCCTCCTTGGTTGTGATTGTAATCTCCTCAGGCGAGAAGTGATTGACATCCAGGTTGATCTTCCAGCTGTGCTGCCCTGTCCGGATCTCTGACACTCCGCTTGTGAGTTTTTTCAGGTCCTTTTCGTTCATCGCCGCAGGGTGCTGACCTCTGAGTGGAGGCAGAAGGGGGGTTTGTGCATACCCTGGCCAGGAGAAAGATGCCAGTCTCTTCTTCGCCCAGTCTATCCAGTCCAGATCACTAGGCTCCAGGAAAGGAGGCAGGCCAAAATCCTGCGCAAAGATACGGCTCGGCTGTGTCCAGTTTGGGAAAGGATCCCAGCTGACATCTCGGCGGAAAATGGGACGAGATAGTATTTTATTTTGTTCACCCATATCCTAGAAAGTAAGCTCAGAATGAAGGAAAGGGATGTTGAGACTGCAAAGCCTGTAGCTCCACCCTGACAAACAAGTCTAGATTGATGACCGGGACATTAAAGAATAGGGCAGCTGTATTTTTAATCTCAAACACTAACAGAAAGTGAGCACAAGGTTTGAGGAAAAGGCTGATTTGGCATCGGTAATCCTCCACTCACACACTTTATATACCCAGCTGATTCAACACTTGTCCAGCAGTAAGTGTGATCTGAGGGATGAGAGTGTCTTGGTATGTCCTGAGCTGGGATGTTACTCCTCCGTTGCCCTGGAGAGGATAATGCCAATTATTTGTATTTATATCTCTGGAGTGTCTGTGGCAAGTTGTTGGTGAATGACTCTGGAAGCAGCAAGCGGACAGCTTATTCAGCAGTGGCCTTTGCAGTCTTGTCACATACTGGTGCTCTTTGTCCATAGAAATCACAGCCTGGTGTTATGTGAAGGAACAGCACGTACATTCAGAGTCACACAGTAAACAACTCTGGGAGTTACTGCCGGTGTCTAAACCCAAGAAGGAAGGAAAAAAAAAAAAAAAAAACTCAAGACCAAACAAACATTATCATGTGATGAGCATGTGGGACAAATAATTCTATATTATAAGGATAATGAGAAGTTTACATCCAGGACAAAGTGATGGACTGAAAGACTGACGCAGTGGAGGGGTGGTGAGGAATTTTACATGTAGCGCTACATCCTCATGGGTGTTATGTTGTACAAATAATGAAACGAGCTGTAGAGGAATAAATCAATGAGCTATTTACCATCGGAGAGGAGTGATATTTATTAATGAGGCAATATCTGTAGCCTTTCCATCAGCGTTCATCCAAAGCATCAGTCAAAGGTCTTAACCAGGGCAGTACACGGTAGACATACAACGTCAACACGCAGCTAGTTGGAATAAGTAACTACACGTCACGGGGATGCCTTTAGGTGCACTGGGGAAGATTATTTAGGGGACAACGGAAGCTACCGCTCTCTTTTTCTCTCTCCTACGTGTCCGTGGCCGGCGGAGTGCGGCGTGGTGCAGACAACAGCACGAGGGACGCCAAACTTTTTTGGTTTTGCGGTAGGCAAATATTATTGTGATATCATACGCCACCAATCACCTCAGTTGGCCAATAAATGAAAAAAAAAAACACTCAAATAATCAATGTGGTTTTTATTTCTATCATAGTTCCCAGTCATCTGATCAATCTGCCTGTTAGAGATAGGATGCGCACCTGAAGTGGAGGATATGATTGTCAGTCACTGTCACACAGTTGGATAAATATCAGAGTATTTGTTTGTCAAACAAGGTGCTCCTTGTATTTTCCTTTTTTCCTTTAATGAAATCCATAATGAAAATGTTGTTGCTAAAATGTGTCTGTTCACAGCTTAATATTATATGTATTTTTAATAGGACTGCCAGTGACTGTCACTGTTTTTTCCCATGTGAAGGTTTGGTTTTAGGCCTATGGGCCTTTTGCTGTAATATAATTATCTTTTTTGTTGTTTTCTCTGTTTTCTTCTCTTTAATTTCTATTTAAACTGGACATTGTGTGGTATTTTAATGATAGGCACTGTGCAATCCCTGAGCAGTAGCTTAATTAACTGTGATTGATTGAGGCTTCATATAAATTCAGAGACCCCCTATTTGTTTTTTGTTGTCGTTTTTTTGCTCTCTTCTCTAAAGTTTCTATTTATGTTTGAAGTTCCTGCCTCCCGTCCTGTTTACTCTGGACGCTTACCTGTCTGCGTGGTGTCCCAGGCTGAAGAAATAAGAATATCAGTCTGAGTTACAATTTAAATCACTACATGTGTAATGCTTAGAGTGATTAGGAAAAGTATTAGAAAACAAAAGCTGTCAACAGGCTGTATCAGCCAAAGTGACAACTGTGCAATCAGCTGGCACACTTGGTTTTTATTAGCTGTTGTGTCCTGACAACATTTCTGTTCTTATACAATGCCTTGATATCTGATAAACAGCTCATTAGAGAGGCCATAAATCCCATCATTAGAGTGCCGGGCGCAGAGTAAATATGACAGACCTTTATGTTTTTAAATTGAGGTTTTAAAAAGAAGCTATCATTTGCATAAATTTGAGGAGAGTGAGGTCATTATTGCATGGAAATGTTGAAAAAGGAAATATTCATAACAATGTGCTGCTGTGTCTTTTGTATTTTGCAGGTAAACAAGCAGAAATGATGTAAACGCAGAGGGTCATGGTTGGAGTGGGAGAGACGGCTGTTAATGAACTCTGCTTTGGGGTAAGTTGTGATGTTGTTGTTGTTGTTGTTAGCCATGTCAGTGCAGCAGCTAAGCAAATTTTTTCTTTGTGTGTTGGGACCCTGTGGTGGTAGACTCAGCGTTATTTTCATTGTTACAGTGAATTGATACATATTGTATAATAGTTGGAAGAAGTAATGAAGTAATTCAAAATTGAACCAGCAGTTCATTCTTTTTCTTGCATTTCATATGTCTGTGAGAAGTTGTCGGTTCCACTAAAGAGACATTTCCTCTCCAAATGCTGGTTTCATGTAAATAATTCTTCAGACTTGGAGAAAAGTCTGAAATAATAATTGACATTAATGTATCAAAACTTCCTGTCTCATTAATCATCTCATGACCCCTCAGATTTATCCTGTGATGCTTTGGAAGGGCCCCGCCCCTAGCTTTGCCATGTGATTTGTAATACTATATGCACAGTATAAGAAAAAAAAATCATACAGTCTTAATATGCTCCATAAACTGCAGTAATCTGCTTTCAGGTCAATAGGAAGAGAGTCACAAAATTGACCCTGATATGAAGCTACAGAATGTTATTGTATTAGAATAACTTTATTTTCCAACAAATTTAAAAATAAACAGTTTAATACACAAACAGTACATACAAAGCAGTGTTCAATTAATTTGACAGTCACCTGCACATACACAGGTGATCTGAAGACCGAAGACTTTGTTTTTCTTCAGTGGCTCAAACACTTAAAACTCTATGGATATTTTCAGTCTATGACTTTAATGATAATGGAGTGTTTAAATAGCTGCAGGTAGGACTCCGCTCCATGTATCACAGGGTTGTTATCAGTTATTGGTAGCTTATTGAACAGACCAGTTGTTATACAGATGAATAAGGCCTACTGTGACTTGCTGTGAAAATGAACCCAACAAACCTTCATCAACAATGTGTTTTCACTTTACAATACAAACTAATCTGCCATTTTAAGCCCAGAATGCCGTGCAGTGATTGTGGCTGTGATCAGAAGTTTTTTTTCTGCCTTGGAAGACGTAGCATGTAGTTACTCTCTAACTGTGCAGGGACCTTTTGTCAACCTTATGATCTAGTATCTATTATCTCTTATGTAAGTGTTAGTTATGTATGTTTTCATTTTAAAGTTTTTCATTTTTCAATAGGTGAAGATATGAGCATGCACAGTGAAGCAAAAATAGTGGTTAGAAGGTATTAATCATCTCCCTTGAAGCTTTTCTGAAATAAAAAAAAAATAAGAACAGGAAAGAGAGAAAAATTACTTTCACTTCATAGCGGGAAACTAAAATACACAGTCATCTGTCAAACTTTTTTCATTTCAAGTAAATGAGTGAATTCATTTTAGGAATGTAGATTTTAGAAACTGTACTGCACCTTTTCTGTTTTCTGGAGTGGAGTACGATTGTTGTTATAATAACAATAAGTGCGACACCTCCAAGGACTGACCCGACCACAATTCCTGTGATATTACCTGAAAAAAACAAAGATGTATTGAAACCAGAAGCTTTCAACAGAATCAAAACCATTTATTAATTGATTGAATTTATTCATTTTGCCTCAACCAGATAGTGGACTTAGACAGGAAGAGAGAGGACATGCAACAAAGGTGCCCAACCAGAATCAAACTGGTGGCATCGAGGCCTCCAGGACCCCTCAAACGTTTGATCCAATTTCGCAACACATCCAGCATGTTCTCACATTAAAATTGTTCTCACATGTTCTTCCTGAAGGTGTTCATATTTGTATTTTAGTTGTTTGATCGTTTTCCAGTTAGTGGCACATATTGGATAAATGTTGCACCAGTATTTCCTATGGAAAGTATGTATGCAGCTGTTCCAGTGGAGAGGAACAAGGCAGAAGAGAGAACGTCCTTATGCTACAAGGTCCTGGGGACCTCATTTTAAATACTTCACAGTAATGCGGCAAGCTTAAATTTGGCCATGCTAGCAGCATGCCACTGTGGATGGTAATGCAGTTCTATCTGATCAGTCTGTGTGCTGGTTGTCAACCACTTGGGTCCAGATTGAAAGCAAATGAAGCAATTGTATAGATTATTAAATTTGGTACATTTATCCATGTTGCCCAGTTTGGTTCCTTTAGCGCCACCATGAGGTTGGCATTTGTGATTTTGAGTGAAATATCTCAACAACTACAGACATTCATTGCCCCTAATGGATGATCCTTTAACTTCTCATTTAGCGCCATTAAAGGTTGAGCTAAGATTTGGAAAAAGAGCGCCACCCCCTCGGGCTGATGGCTTGTACAATCGGTCACTTAAGAGCTGAAGGGGTTTGTTTCCAGGAATCTAAACCGTTGAGAAAAGCTTTCCAAACAGGCCTGATGTGAAGGGATCTGTTTATCATAGGAGTGGGATAAACTACAACAAAACTGATTGTGTTAAGGTCTTATTAATGTGAAAAATGGCTGCTTTAACAAGAGATTTGCGTGTGTGATAGAAAGCAGCTCTTTTTTAGTTTCAACAAATATGTCATTGCAGTAATGCAGAGAGCAAAAAGCATTAGCATGGTGGGAATGTGTCTGCTTATTTGTTTCACCCTATTCATTCACCTTATTATTTTCTGATTCTAAGAAACCTAGAAAGGAAACTGAATTATCGGTTGAAGATAGGCCTATTTTGTGGTTTATGAAAGTGTCCCTCCTCATATGTTGACCCATGGAGATCTTGCATTGTTAAATTCTTTTCATTTCCAATTTGTTGTGTTTATTCCTCTTAGAATCAATAGTCTCATCAGTGAATCTGAGTGGCAACATCAAAGGTAAAGAGGCGATGAAAGTGATTTAATTTTCTGTGCATATCACACTTCAGAGCTGATTGGATGGATCAGATCACGCCCGCAAAGAGACTCACACTCACACACACTTGCACATGATTTGTGAAGATAAAAATCATTTGGACGGGATTGATTTTATCATTTATTCGTACTGGGAACCACGCAGCTCGTCTCCTCTCCAGACCACTGGCCGTTCTCCTGGCACACACGCTCTGCTGATCCCTTCAGAGTGTAGCCATCATCACAGGAAAGCCGAACCTTAGCTCCTTGTAAATATGTGGTCCCCTCTTTCTTCCCATTACTTGGCGGTGAAAGCCAGCCGCAGGATACCACTGCATAGTATGACAATAACCAACACTGTGAAACCAAATACCAAATCTCGTACATAAAAAACACCAGACATTTTCATAGACTTTTTCCTCATGTACACTGACCTGACTTTAGATCATCCACAAGAGAAATGTGACTCTGGAAAGACAACCTGGTAGCATTTCCCATCCTTGGACTACGACCTACCAGGATATCATACCTACAGTACAGAGGAAATGATCAGGAAATCAGCTGCTGTAGTCAACACAATTATTTCACTGATAACAGAAATGATGATAATTTCCATGAGGTTGAAAATGAAATCATTAGAAACCAAGTTATCATGACTTTTATTTCCTGTGTAGGTCAAGTTCTATAAACCATATCCTGCATTTCCTCTTCTTTTTTTAGGGACTCTTTACCTGGTAAGGTTATAAATTTGTAGTCTTATTCAAGATAACCCTGATGACATCACTGTGGCATCATCAAGCTTATTCTGTCTGAATTCAACTAATGACT